GCACAATAACTCATTTTTTATTTAATCAATCCACCTTTTACCTTCATACTAATTAGAGTCCTAAAATTGTTATAAAACAACGTAATAGAGATTTTAAAATGTCCTATGACAGCACATGAAAAATTTTAGGGCCAAATACTATATAAATGATACTGGTAAATTGTCATGTGCCATTTACACTTACTAAGAAGGGGACTGTGGGAGTGAGGAAGGCCTCTTATCCCAGTCTCCAGAATGTTTATTTCAAACAGCCTTCAAGATTCCCTGTCATTGGGCAGGCTGGACCCCAACTCCGTGGCAGAGAAAAAGAGAAAAGCAAATAATTACTAAGGCTGTTAAAAACACCGCACCCTTGAGAACAGCTAGCAGGAAAAGCCATTTCCAGCAGAGGTTACTACTGTTTATCTCATGATGTAAAAATGTCTGCAGTGGAAACAGAAACTCTCATCCGTGGAGAGTCCTCTCTGCTCTGCCCAGGACTCTCAAGAACTCCAGCATGGCTATTTCAGCAGGGCTTCCCCAGTTCTCTCCACTGGATGTTGTGAGTCCCTGATTTGACAATGTCTTGCTATCTATCTGCCACTTGCTATTTGTTCTTTTATTTTTTTTATTCTTTTTAAAAACATTTATTTAGTTTTATGTGTATGAGTGTTATGCCTGCATGTATGTAAGTGCACCTGTGGCATGCAGTGCTCACAGACGACAGAAGATGACATTGAATTCCCTGGAACTGGAGTTATAGATGGTTGTTAGCTGCCATGTGGGTGCTGGGATTCGAACCTGGGTCTTCTGCAAGAACAGCCAGAGCTCTTAACCACTGAACCATCTCTCCAGCCCATTGTTCTTTTATTTTTGCTTGTTATATAGTTAATAAAGTCATTCAAAACCAAACGTATGACTATTGTCGATCATTCTGTACGGAACACAGGGTAATGCCAGTATCACAGAATGACAAGAAAATGTCCCTTCTTCAATTCTTTGGGCATGATTTAAGAAGGATTACAGTTCTTTTAATATTTGGTAGATTTCCCAAGTGAAATCGCATCAGCAAGGCTTTTCTTTGTGGGTTTGGGGTATTTTGTTTTGTTCTGTTTGAGACAGGATCTCACCATGTAGCCCTAGCTGGCCTGGAACTCACTATGTAAGCCAGGCTTGAACTCAGAGAGATCTATCTGCCTTTGCTTCCTAAGAGCTGGGATTAAAGGTATGCACCACCCTACCAGAATGGTGAGGTTTTGATTGCTGATTCAGTCTCATTTTAGGTCTATTCACATTTTCTGATTCTTTACAATTTAGAGGAAAGGCTTTATGTTCTTGGAATTTTTCCATTTCAGTTGGGTTATCCAATGCTATGCCTGCCTGTACACAAGTTCACCAGTGTGCTGCAATGCCTGTTGTCTTAGTTTGTTTCTTCATTGCTGTGACAAAACACTCTGACCAGTACCAACTTGGGGAGGAAAGGGTTTATTTGTCTTACATCTCCCAGGTCGCAGTTCATCAGGGAGCCCAAGGTAGGAACTCAGGGCAGGAACCTGGAGGCAGGAGCTAGAGCACAGGCCATGGAGGAACGCTGCTTACAGGCTTGCTCCCTTGGCCCCTGCTCAGCCTGCTTTCTTATGCAACACAGGCCCACCTGCCCAGGGGTGGCACCACCCACAGTGGGCTCGGCCCTCCCACATCACTCATCAAGAAGATGCCCTTCAGACATGGCCACAGGCCAGTCCAATAGAGGCAATTTCCCGATTGAGGCTCCCTCAACCCAGGTGTGTCAAGTTGACACTAAAGCTATCCAGTACACCTGTGGAGGCCAGAAGTGGGAGTTGGGGTCCCTAGAGTTACAGGTGGTTGTGAGGTGCCCACGGGTGCTAGGAACCAAACCCAGGTCCTCTGGACAAGCAGACAGTGCTCTTAACCACTGAATCTTCTTTCCAGCCACCCCTCCTAACACACACACTTTTAAAAACCCTTATTTTATTTGTATGTGTGTCTGTATGAATGTACATGTGGGTATGGGTACCCTTGGAAGCCAGAAAAGGGAGTCAGAATCCTCAGGAGCTGGAGTTACAGGTGGGTGTGAACTGCCTGATGTGGGTGCTGGGAACTGAATGCCAGTCCTCTGGAAGAGCAACATGGACTCTTACCATGGAGTCATCTTTCCAGCCTAGTTTTCTCTTATAATCCTTTTGTATTTCTGCTGAAATGGTTGTAACGCCATGCCCAAATTATTTATTATTATTATTATTATTATTATTATTATTTTGGTCTTTTTGAGACAGGGTCTCCCTGTAGCCCCAGCTGTCCTGGAACTCACTCTATAGACCAGACTGGCCTTGAACTCACAGAGCTCCGCCTGCCTCTGCCTCCCAAGTGCTGGGATTAAAGGCGTGTGCCACCACGCCTGGCCCAAATTATTTTTGAGTCAGGTATATTTTGTTAGGCCCTGGAGAGCCATCTCTGAGTTACCTGATAGCCTCACAGAACTTACATTCTGTGAGTTTAAAAGTATTTATAATGTGGTAGAGGGGCTGGAAAGATAGCTCAGTGGTTAACAGCACTTGCTGCTCTTCCAGAGGACCCAGGTTCAGTTCCCAGCCTCTATGTGATGGCCAATAACCATCTGAAACTCCAGTTCCACAGGATCCTCCCATGGTGCACTTATAGGCAAAACATTCATACCCATAAAAAGAAATATTTTTTAAATGTGATTTAGAGATCAAATTTGAATATCCTTTCATTTCCCAAACAAATTTAAGAGGTCTATTCTCCACATCATATTTAGTGAAAGCTGTCAGGGTAACATCTTACCAACTGCCAAGCATGGTTACACCTTATATGTTACAGGCCTCCCTTCTTGAATGTCTGTGGTGATAGTCCAGGGGTGTGGAAGAGGGCGCCCTACTCCAGCACTGTTCTGTGCCCCATACTCACACTCAGGCCTGGGGATGGCTAGTTTTCCTGCATATTGAGGTGTAATATCTACATAGCAGAAGGCATGAATGCATCCATGTTACAGTTTGGAGGTTTGCATCAGTATATACCTATGTAACCATCAGTAGATCAAAATAACTTATTTCAATCTCCTTAGAAGCAGCCTTTATGTGTGGATGATCACACTTGAGGGCTTATACTCCATCTGCCACCTGCATAGAGTAAGAAGTGTGAGACAGCTCCTGAGTCTTTGTCTGGGAGCTTTGACTGGAGGAGCCATCCAGGAATTGTCTGGATTCTGCTAGGAGCAGCTCCAGTGTCCTCATGTTGTACAAAAGTGACCCTGAGCCCGCCTCTAACAAATTCATATTCTCTCTCCCCCACCCCGGCCCCTTCCTCTTTCCCTACACACCCTCCAAAGATTAAGAAGCTGTAGAACCTGACTTTCTAAAGGGGAGGACAGTGATGCTGCAGTCCAAATCCAAAGATATATAAAGGTGTCCCCTCTAAAAATTTTCGTTAGAGCCTTTGTCCCAGTGCACCCATGTCAAGCCTTTGGACAGTGCTTGAAGAGTCCTTATGAATAAAGATGGAGTTACTGAAAGGGGGGTGTAGGAATAAGTTTTAGCTCTGTCTTGTGGATGCAGAGGGCATGGCATAGAACATTCCTTCTCTAGTGAGGACCAGCATTCAAGGCACCAACTGGAAGCAGAGAGCCTGGCTCTGACCTGCAGGGGTCTTGACCTTGGGTTTCCCAACTTCCAGAAATGTGAGGAATAAATTTCTGTTCACTAAAAATTATTTATCAGTGGTCCTCTGAAATAACAGTACAAAATGGACTGAGGCCTCCAGCCAGGTTTACCTCTGACTTTGTAAGATGTGGTTGGAAGAAGTTGCAGTGTTGAGACAGGGTCTTGATATGTGCTGGCCTTAACATCAACAATTCTGCCTCAATCTCAGCACCTACCCCAGTTGCTGGGCTGGGATTACAGGCCTGCCCTACCACCTCTCCCAGTAGTGTCACTTTCTTCTAAATTCCTTCTTTTAAGAAAATCCAGCTTGACCCTCTCCCTTCCTGCCAGGGGCATGATGGCTCTTACCTTAAGTTAGGTCCAGCCTGTATTCATATTCCTACTGACCATCCTGTTCCTGCTTCTCCAAGCTGTGGCCTTCACAGTGGCCAGTTTTCTTGTGAATCTTGGAAATTAACCCAGTGAGATGGGATAAAGAACGTGGACCATTCACCCAGGAGAAACACCATTAGTGTGCGTTGATTACCTGGGGGCGGGGGGGGGGTGGGCTACATAGGGGATTTAAAAAGAAGGAAATAGTGGCCGGGTGTGGTGGCGCATGCCTTTAATCCCAGCACTCAGGATGCAGAAGTAGGCGGATCTCTTTGAGTTCAAGGCCAGCCTGGTCTATATAGTGAGTTCCAGGACAGCTGGGGCTACAGGGAGACCATGTCTCAAAAAGACCAAAAAAAAAAAAAAGAAGGAAATGGACTCGTTGATCTCATCTGTGAAGAAAGCAATCAATGAAGCTTGAGTCGGGAGAGCTGGAGCCTGGAAAGTAGGAAGAAAATCCTCATCCAAAAAATGGTCAAGATGGTGCCAAATGACCACCACTTCCACATCAGAGAAAGGGCAGACAAGGACATCCGGAGAAGTTGGTGGCTGTCCTACCTCTAGATGACTTGCTCCAGCTCAGTGGTTCCATGGTTCCATGATGTCACTGAAGAGAAGAATGAAGAGCTGGATTTGGCTCCGGCTGCTCCAAGTCCTCTCTCATCTGGGTTTTGGCATTTTTGGGGTGAGGGGAGGTGAGCTGTGTGAGCAGTGTCTTAGCTCAGTCTCCCCTCTGGCCACCTCAGTCCCCATCGCCTTTATGGAGAGAAAGTAGGCAGCGTGAGTCCCTTCCACCAAAACTAGCCAAGTGTCTTATGAAGCTTGACCCATCAAAAGAACAGCAATGAAAACAGCCTTTTATTCTTCTGTTTCTAGAAAACTTAAAGAACAAGAGAACTACAATCAAACTGAGCTGGAAAAATGTTTGGACAAAATGCCCTTGAGAAAATGGACAAGTCTTCTAAAGCAAGCCCCACGAGCTTTGAAACCACAGTGATCACTTTCTTCATTATCCTTTTAATTTGCTTCATTTGCATCCTCCTTTTACTGGCGGTTTTTTTATATAAATGGTATAAGTCTGTGTTGATAATTTGGGATCAGATTTCAAGGCACTGTAGCAAACATTATCTAGAAATAACATGAAAGAAGTTAAAATAGAATATGTAACAGGTTGGTGGAGCACACCTGTAAGGCCAGAACTTGGAAGGTGGAAGCAGGAGGAATAGGAGTTCAAGATTACTCTCTGTTACATAGTGAATTCAAGGCCAGCCTAGGCTTTGTGAGACCCTGTCTCAAAAAACCAAATGAATAAATAAAATAGAACACATAATGTAGTGGTCCCTACATTTTCCACTTCAGAGTTTTAAAGTGCAAGTTTCCTGTTTAAAAGTGAAATTCCCACCGCATCTTAGAATGAGGGCCGGTCTTCTTTTTTTGACACTGCCTGCTTGTTTTCAGTTTCAAAGGCACGAAGACTCAAGAGTCAGAAAAGCATCTTTGTACAGATGAAAGTGGAGGTGAAGATTGTTTAGTGGCAAATAGGGAGATGAGCAAACCTGAAGAGCAAGAAAAGTGAGTGTGGGGCTGGGGGAGGGCTCGGGATGAGGGCTTCCTGCTGAAGCATGGCAGCCCCAGTCAGATCCCCAGGACCAGGAAAAAAGCTCAGTGTGGCAGTGTACATCTGTAACCCCAGAGCTAAGGGCAGAGACAGGAGGATCCTGGAGGCTCAGTGGCCAGCCAGCCCAGCCCAAATGGTGAGCCCCAGGTGCAGTGAGCAACTCGGTCTCTAAATAAGGTGGATGGGGCTGGAGAGATGACAGTTCAGTGGTGAAAGCACTAGCTGTTCTTGTAGAGAACCTAGGTTTTGTTTCCAGCACCCACATGGTGGCTAACAACCATCTGTAACTCCAATTCCAGGGCATCTTGTGCCTTCTTCTGGCCTCTGTGAACATTGCACACATGTGGTACACTACACATGTGCAGACAAAACATTCATACACATAAAAACTAAAATTAAATAAATTAATGGATAAGTGATTGAGAAAGGCATCCTGATATCAACACATATCCAGTGAGGCAATCATGCACTTAGGCACAGACACAGGCACACACACACACGCACACACACACACACACACACACACACAGAGTATGGATGTGACAGAAAGCCATTTTTGTATGTGATGATGCTGATTAAGATGCAAGAATTTTTGAAAACTCTGTTGATTGATTTTCCCAGGATCCTACTACACTATGTGAACTTGGAAGCACCAGTGAGGCCTGGCATTCTTGTTCAAAGACAGAGTAAGGAAGTGGTGGGCACACCCTTAGGAGAAGAGGCAGAAGACAAGGACAGAAAAAAACAGATGGAGGAGACTGAGAACTTTGGAGAAACTGATCGAGAGGTGATATATATTTCTATTCTCTTGCTTAGAGTTTAGGTGGCGAAGAAGCAGGAAGTCAACCAGGTAGGGGCAAGAACTGGGGGTGCTGTTGCCTGCAGCTTGGATTCTGTCTGGAATGAGTCCAATGTCCACAATCCTTTAACCATTCTTCTAAGCCAGTTATTTTGTGTTCTGAAACCAGTTACATATGTCAAGCCTAGAAGCTTTTCATTTTCCGTTTTCATTCTTACATTTCTGTTTCACTTAATTTTCTTTCATTTTATTTTTCTTAAACTCCTATGATCTTGGAGCTTAAAAGGCCTTGTAGGCCACCTAAGGGATCTAAAACTCTCAAGTCACAGATGAAAAATGAGAATTGTCCATTCCCCCACTGCAGCTGAGCTCAGGACCAGCCCCCACATCCCTGCTGCAGCTCTGGGTTCCTTCCACCACAGCACACAAACACTGTCAGAACCTGCATGAACTCCTGCCACACCACCATCCTCTGTCCAAGACAGAACAGTGGTCCACGTGGCTCTTAGCTTAGCCTTCTTAAGGAGAACAGCACATGTCATCAAATAGTATTTGATGGTATCAATGTAAGCTTTTTTAAAAAAATATTTTATTGGCCGGGCGTGGTGGTGCACGCCTTTAATACCAGCACTTGGGAGGCAGAGGCAGGTGGATCTCTGTGAGTTCAAGGTCACCCTGGTCTACATAGTTAGTGCCAGGACAGCTGGAGCTACAGGGAGACCCTGTCTCAAAAAGACCAAAAAAAATTTATTTTTATTTATCTTTTTTATTTTTTATTTTTTTACATATATGAATATACTGCCTGCATGTACGTGAGTGCACCTGTGTCGTGCAATGCTGAGGAGCTCAGAAAAGGAGGTCTCAGCGCTGACTGCTCTTGCAAAGGACCCGGGTTCAGTTCCCAGCACCCACATGGTGGCTATGAACCATCCTTAACTCCAGTTCCAGGGAAATCTGAAGCCCTCTTCTGACCTCCATGGCAGTGCATGACACGGGTGCACTCACATACATACAGGCAATACGCTCATACACATAAAATAAAAATAATAAATTGTAGGACCCCCAGGCTGGGGTACCCAACATCCACGGGAGGCCGCACCCCAATAACTCAGTCCTCAGACCAGGAGATGCAACAAGCAAGAGGATTTAATCATTTGCGCAGATGGGCCCCTGCCTCACTCAGAGAGAGAGAGAGCAGCAGCCCTGAGCTCAGCTTACAGGTGACTTTTAAAGGCAAAAACCACAAACTACAACTGGCAGCAGTGGGAGGGGGCCGGCAGCAACCAGCAGCAGTGGGAGGGGGGGGAAGTTTCGGGTGATGTCCGGTTTGTGTACGGAGCATGAAAAGGTCAGCTCTTTCTCAGCAGTTAGAATTATTTTACTTCTTACTTCCTTGTTCTGAATATTCTTCTTTGGTCTGGGGGACTTGGTTTGAATCCACTTTAACCTGGGGGGCTTTAGTTTGATTCCATCAAAATAAAATATATATATTTAAAAAAGCAGGGCTTGTTATGGTCCTAAGTCGGTCATTGTGCTATTTGTTCCACTCCCTTGCAGGGTGAAAATGTACAGAAAGCACCTAGACCTGTCCATAGAACTCCTTCCGCTGTTGAAGGCCAAAAAAGACCATTAAAAGGAGTGACATTTTCTAAGGAAGTGATTGTTGTGGATCTTGGAAATGAACACCCCACACCAGGAAGCTATGCTCAAGAACACAAAGAGAGAAAATAGAGCTCAGAAGAGGCTGGCAGTGAAAGAAATGTAACCTTTGACTGACACTGGATTGACTGAGGGTACTGCGCAATGTCGAAACAGCAAAGTGATGGGAATTAAGCAAACACAGATCATCCTTTTGTGCACAGAGAACTGCACTGTGCAAAATTCCATAAGTACAATACTGAGCCTGAATATAGATTTTTAAAAAGAAATCTGAGTTGAGTAAAATGATTATATTACATGTTCTTAAAAGTCTGTCTGCTCAAGTAATCAGTAATTTATTTGTACAGATGTTTGTTAAGTAGGTCAGAGTCTTCAATTGCTCTGATCACAAGCATTCATGATCAAGCGTTACAGGTATCACCATAGAAACTTCCAACAACAAGGGCCAGGTTTCTTCTGTGCACCCCATCAAGCATTTTTAAAAATATTTTATTTATGGGGCTGGAGAGATGGCTCAGCAGTTAAGAGCACTGACTGATCTTGCAGAGGACCTGGGTTCGATTCCCAGCACCCACATGGCAGCTATGAACCATCCTTAACTCCAGTTCCAGGGGAATCCGAAGCCCTCTTCTGACCTCCGCAGCATTGCATGACATGGGTGCACTCACATACATGCAGGTGATACACTCATACACATAAAATAAAAATAATAAAATATTTTTTAAAAATAAAAAATTATTTATTTATTTATTTTTATTTTATGCGTATGAGTGTATTGCCTCATGTATGTGAGTGCACCCATGTCATGCAGTGCCGCGGAGGTCAGAACAGCCGGGGCTCTTAACCGCTGAGCCGTCTCTCCAGCCCCATCAAGCACAGTTCTAAATGTCTTTCTTGTACTGACATTTTTCCTTTTTCTTTTTTTGGAGACATGGTCTCCCTTTAGCCCCAGCTGACCTAGAACTCACTATACAGAACAGGTTGGCCTCGAACTCACTGAGCTCCATCTGCCTCTGCCTCCCCAGTGCTGGGATTAAAGATGGGCACCACCATGCCTGGCCTGATCATAGCTTTTAAAGATTGGTACAAAAAAGCAACTACCAGCAATAAAATACCCTGTTAATTTAGGCAAATTTTAGGATTAAATCATCTTGTTATCGGTCATTTAAAATTTACTGTCAAAGTCAGGCATTGTGGTAGATATGTGTAGTCTGGGCTACTTGGGAGACTGATGGAGGGAGATCATTTGAATCCGTGATCAGATGGATCACAGTAAGACATTTCTAAATAAATAAAATTTGTTGTCCAAATGTTGAATGTGATGGTACAGACCATGCAACCACAGTCAGGGGACTGCAGTAAATGGGTGAAATGTGTAAGGGGCTATCAGGAGAGAGATAAAAAGTAGAGATAGCACTTGCTCCAGGGGCTTGGCATGTCCTCATTGCCCATGATCAATAAATATGCGCTAAGGACCAGAGGTTATATATGCTGAAATCAGAACGTGTAACTGCTGCAAAGTGGGTCATTAACAGCATGCAGTGGAGGACATAAAAGCCAAGGCAGAGGCACATCTGTGTGCAAAGTTAGTTGGAGCCAAGAGCTGGTGTTAGGAGAGTTGAGGGGTAACTGCAGTGTGCTGTGAAGTGTGGGATGTGTGGGGTCCAGGCTAGGTAGAAGTGTGAGGGAAAGACGGACTGAAGAGGACGCAGGAGGAAAGGTGTGCAGAAATATTCAGAGTCCCTGTGTTCTCAACAAACATTTAAAAATTGTGGCATTTACCTGAAACTGACATTAACAATTTTACTTTTACTATAGCATCACACATGTAACCTACTGTTGTGGTTTTTTTGTTTGTCTTTTGAGACAGGGTCTCCCTGTAGCCCCAGCTGGCCTGCACTTGCTACGTCAACCAGGCTGGCCTCGATCTCACAGAGATCCTCCTGTCTCTGCCTTCTGAGTGCTAGGACTAAAGGCTTGCACCACCATGCCTGGCCTGTAACTTACTGTCTTAAGCATTTGAAGTGCACAGTACAGCAGTGGTAAGTACATGCACACTGTTGTACAACCACCATCATCATCGAATCACAGAAATCATCTTAGAAAACTGGAACATTGCACCCTAACATCAACCCCCAGTTCCCTCTGCAGTTCCTGGCACCACGACTCTACTTTATCCTTATGAGCCTGACTCCTTCACACACCTTTTGTAAGGGAGGGAATCCTCCATACTTAGCCTTTTGTGGCTGGCTTGTTTCATTTGGCATAGTATTTCCAGAGTTGATGACTGTGTCAGAACTTTCCTCTCTGTAAGATGAAGGAGACTTCATTTGCATGTACACCACATTTCACTGATCCCTTCATCTGTTGATGGATGGGTGTGTTGCTTCCTTCTTTTGGCTATCATAATAATACTGCAATGAATATTTACAATTTTAATCTAAGAAAGTTCAGACTTGCTGGAGTTGTGGCACACACCTTTAATCCCAGCACTCGGGAGGCTGAGGCAGGCGAATCTCTATGAATTCAAGGCCAGCTTTGTCTACATAGTGAGTTCCAGGCCAGTTGGGGCTACAGGGAGACCCTGTTGGAAAAAAAAAAAAAAAAAAAAGAAGTTCTGACTTACCCATTTAGCTATTTATAGCTGTGCGTTCCAGCATAATTTCATGGCTCCAATGCTCATATCTGGGATTATGGAACCAGGTTACTTTGCCAAAAACTGATAAAAAAAGAGGGGAAATGAATACCTACATGGTATGTCTACATTAGCATAAAAGCCAATTTCCTGGTGACTAACTGTACTAATCTGGGCCTGGTGAATGTTACAGGCATCAGTGCCTGTAATGATGGAGGCAGCAGACTTCACGAAGGCCGTCAGCATCAGGCCTGTACTGTGAACAGCAGTGTGGCAAGCAACAGCACATGGTGCTAAGTGGTCATCTGAATTCTATTGTCTTTTTAAAAATTTATTTTTATTTTATGTGTATGAGTGTTGCCTGCATGTATGGAAGCGCACCTGTGTTGTGCAGTGCTCCAGGAGGTCAGAAGAGGGCGTTGGATCCTCTGGAACTAGAGATACAGGTGGTTGTTTGCCACCATGTGGGTGCTAGGAATTGAACCCAGGTCCTCTGCAAGAGCAGCCTAGTGCTCTTAACCACTGAGCCATCTCTCCAGCCCCTGAATTTTACTGGCTTTGTGCTGCTGTTTGCATCTGACTTGTAATTTAATTTTGATTTTAGAGTGAACTGAAAGCTCTAACAGTCAATATTCAGATCTATGTTTTCATGGTTTTAAGTAACACTATGATGATAGTGTAAGGCAAGAATGGGGGTGGGGATCCATGAATACCTATTGCTGGGTATTGAAGAGCAGCATCTAGGAAGTCCATGGAGGTGACTCTGGTGATGTGACCGGTGAAGGTCTGGCCTCAGGAGGTGACAGTGTAATGAGAATGGTTTGTGAGGATTTTGAGGGGCTGCAAAGCTGGCTCCCGAGCTTGGAGATGTGAGAGGTTGCCAATAGGAAATCCTAGAGAAGTACTGGGTAAAAAGTTAGGTGAGTTTCACTTCTATTAAATTTGTAGTGTTGGGCTGGGCATGGTGGCACATGCCTTTACTCCAAGCACTCAAGAGGCAGAGGCAGGCAGATCTCCTGAGTTCAAGGCCAGCCTGGTCTACATAGTGAGTTCCAGGCCAGCTAGGGCTACATGGAGACCATGTCTCAAAAAGACCAAAAAAATAATAATAATAATTGTAGTGTTAGCAAGAGGTTCAACTAAAGATGCCAAGAGAGGGTTGGATGTCGGCATGCATGCCTGTAATCCTAGCACTTGAGAGGCTGGGGCAGGACAATTGTGAGTTGGAGGTCACCCTATTTCAAATAAACAAAAAACACAGGGGCTGAAGAGATGGCTTAGCAGTGAGGAGCGCTGACTGCTCTTGCAAAGGGCTTGAGTTCAGTTCCCAACACTCACATGGGGCAGTTCACAACTGCCTGTAACTCTAGCGCCAGGGGATCTAAAACCCTCTTCTAGTCTCTGCAGGCTCTTACATTCATGAACACAAACCACACACATACACGTAATTAAAAATAAAAATAAGGGGGCTGGAGAGATGGCTCAGTGGTAAAGAGCACTGACTGTTCTTGCAGAGAAACCAGGTTTGATTTCCAGCACCCACATGGTGGTAACAAGCATCCATAGCTCCAGTTCCAGGGGATCCAACACCCTCCTCTTCTGACCTCCATGGGAATTACATGACATAGGTGCATGTACACACATGCAGGCATTACACTTATACACATAAAATAAAAATAAAAATAAACCTTAAAAGAGAAAAAAAATATAGGTGCCTATTGAGAGAGAGATGGGGAGGTAGAGAGAGATGAATGCTATAACCCCTTTTTTGACACTTGGTGTCACTTTCAACATATTCTATTGGTTAGAAGCAAGTCACCAAGTCCACAGACAAGGGCAAAAGTGTCATAAAAATTGTGGACTAGCATGTCTGTTTCATAGCTGTCTTTGGAGGTGTCCATGAGTGCCCATCAGCACTTCCAGCCCCATCTAATAGCAAGTGCTTTGGCTTTCCTTCCTCCAGTCTGTAACTCCCTCAATAATGACACAAGGCTTCCATTTGCTCCCCATGCCTACCTGCCTGCTTAGTTCCCTGTATGCTGAGAAAGCCTTTTCCAGAAACTTTTATGACAAAGTGATGATTTATTTCATAAGTGGGTAAGAATTTTTGGTGCATGAAAAAAACTATTTCAATCACAGGAAAAAGAAAAATATGAATATAAAATACGCTTTTAAGAGAAGCAAAGGTAGCCAGGTGTGGTGGCGCACGCCTTTAGTCCTAGCGCTTGCAAAGTAGAGGCAGGCAGATCTCTGTGAGATAGAGGCCAGCCTAGTCTACATATGAGTTTCAGGCCAATTGGGGCTACACCAGACCATCACAAATGGAACCAAACAGAGCAAATGTATAGGGAGGAAAAATAAATGGCCAAGAATCTTTGAGGGCTTAGTGTGGCCATTGATAGAGTGCTTGCTTGAGGCCCTGGGTTGATCCCCGGAA